CAATCTTTCCAACCAGCCCCCATGTTCCATTTGCCCCTCCCCCAGTCAACAACATAAAACCCATGACTTTTCCACCTTTCTTCAGTTCTGAATGAGTCACTGGATTCAAAATGTCAACTCTCATTCTCTGTCCAGAGATGATGCCAGGCCTGCTGAGTTTCTCCCAATGTTTTCAATTTTTTTTTATAATGGATAGAATCAGACCCAATGCTTTTATGTTGGAATCATGGAATTCAAAGGAGATTTCATTCGGTTATGTCCAATGAGCTAGCATTTGAAGCTGACACTGTTTGCCCACAATCTTGTGGTGACATCTGAAAATACCTTTAAACTGGAGGACCTTTAATTTCTTGGATATCTCTCCTGGAGGATGTCTTTCCCGTTGAAACAGGCAGTTGTTCTGTTGCAGTCTCTTGAGGACCTTTAATTTCATGAATTCCCTTTGTAGATAATGGCAGCCCTATTGAAGCAGGAACTTTTTTCAGTATCAAGTCAATACAGTGTGTAGCTGGAGGAACACACAGGCCAGACAGCATCGAAAGAGCAGGAAAGTTGACGTTTCGGGTCGGGACCCCTCTGGCACTGCTGGAGAAACTCTCAGCTGGTCTGGCAACATCTGTGGAGACAAGAATTTGGGAGAGAACTCATATTGGGCTCCAAGAGTTGTGTTTTTCTCTCCACAGATGCTGCCAGCCCAACTTAATTAATCTTTGTTGGGATCATACCATGTTCACTTTTCCTTTTGCCTCTTTTTAGTATAAAATCCAAGACTTTTCCACATCAGTTCTGAAGAAGAAATTGCACTCAAAACATTAATTTGATTCTCTCCACATGGATCTTGCCAAACTTTTTGAACTTCTCCAACATTTTTCAAATCTTCAGCATCATAATATTTATCTTTATTATCACTATCCATCCCCGCACCAGCAATCCTGCAACCTTTAGATGAGAAAAACAATTTTATTTTAAAGTCCAATCTTTTAGTTAGAAAAAATAACAATTCTAATTAGTTTTCTCACATGAGTTCATGTAGGAGACATTTCTAGATGTAGATCTTGCATTGAGGTGATGTTGCTGCATAATCCAGTTAGAAGAGAAAAATGTTTTGGTAGTCATCTTTAGCACATATTGGAAACACTTCGTTTGACCTGTTCTGAATTGGAACAAAAAGTGCTGTTGTATTGGTTGTGCATAAAGGACAAAGTGGTTTTAGGAGCTTGTTTAAGAAAAGTGAGTTGACATCCATGTTGTCAAGTTTATATCTTTCAAAGTTGTGGGATATTTTTTGAATAAATCTGCCTATATTTCTTAATTCCTTGAACCCTCAAACCCTAATAGTTCTTATCTGAAATATTTTGTTTCAACCTTTCAACCCTCTCAACAATGTATCTTTTAATTTTCTATTGCACCACTTTTTTTTCCAAAGTGAGGCTTGTGAAAAATAATTGCATACTTGTTGTGAAAGGTGATGATCCAAACTTTGGAGTTGATAGTCAATGCCTTATTTTTGCAGTATTCTGCTGAGAATTACCATTATAAGCTACAAATCTGGAAGAGCTGTTAGAACAAATTGAAAGATTGTATTGATATGTTGGTTATTTTAATGTTCTGTGCTTAGAAGATTACTCATAGTGTGTGATACGTTTGTGTAAACGTAACTCTTAGAGGGAAGTATTTTTATTGCTTCAGTGGATTAATGTATCCCTGGTACACATTGAGAATAAATATTTTGAATAGTAAATTAATACTTCATTGGTTTGTCTTCATGAATACAAGCAGTATACTTGGTGTGTTGTACATATATAAATATCTAGTTTTAACTGGGTTTCTTTCAAGGTCATAATGAATGAAAATTATGTCAGCATGTAAAAGTGCTGTACCAGTATTTGATATCTGTATGTTGACATGTTAGCACCGCAAACATGGAATCAGGTAATACTTCGTTGACAAAACATTTTGTCTAGCAGATGCAATTTTCAACATGTGATAACAGCACGAGTTAATACAGTTCTCTCTGTACTCAGTGCTCTACGAACTTCTGAAAGGATTTGTTGGATTTTTTTTTTGCAAACTGGAAAATGATAGGGACAGATATTTGCACCTGTTCTTTAAGACTGCACTCATGCCTCAGTGATTTTCTTTCCAAAGTGTCCTTTGTGCTAATCTTATTGTAGAACAAAAACATGAAGTTAACTTGTTTTTTGTATATTTTGACACTTCTTAATCTTATTGTTTCTTCATTACCATTAGCTGCATTTTAGCCTTCAATGCTAACATTTTATAAAATATGACAGCACCCAACTAGGTAACTACAAATAATGATTGGAACAAAGAAATATTCCAAAGTTTCAGGGAATTATCAATTTAATTGAGCCATTTTCTCCTCCCATATAATGAGAAGCTGAATTAACAGATAAGATTTTTCATTCTCCAGAATGGATGCCAGCAAGATTACTTTGCATGACTGATCTGTACTTTTCACATTTTTGCCATTTATAAACCAGTGATTAAACTGAATGCTTCTTCTGATGCTAGTATTTTGGAGCACTAATGCTCAGTGCCACAAGGTGCAAGAATGTTGGGTCAATTTAGCAAATCCACTTGGTCCCCAAGCTGAATTGCATGGAACTGATGAATGGGTACTTGATATGATATTTCACTTGTTGATGTGACCCTGGTTTCATCCTCAATTGTCATATCAGAAAGTGGTTGTCCCAGACTTTAGTCTGCAGATCTTCTCCAACTTAATGAACACTGGCTTAGGCAGTCATTTCACAACAGAGTTAACAGGCTCAGTGATCACTATGGCAGTTTGTGATCTTCAGTCTGTTCCTTCTCAAGCTCCTCTGTGCAAAGGAAAACCCCAATCTATCTAATCTGCCCTCATAAGTGACTGAAACTCTCTAGCTCAGGCAGTATCCTGGTAAATTTCCTCTGGACTCCCATTGCCATCACATCCTCCTATAATATGAATTCCAGAACTGTGCACAGTACTCCAGCTGTGGTATAACCAAAGTTTTATGTGGTTCCAGCCTAACCTCCCTATTCTGAAACTCTATGCCTCAACAAATAAAACAAGTTATTTATTTATATAGCACCCATAGTTATTAAATGTCCCAAATGCTTCAAATGCAAGTTGTGTGGCAAAATATGGCAATGAACCACATAAATGTATACAATTACAAGAGGAGCAGACAGAATGGAGTAAGAGAGCTTATCTTTCTTAAAAATAGCCAGGCTTCAAGGATGTAGAATAATTGGCAGAGGATTAAGAGAACTATTCATCCAGAACGTGGGTGGCATCTGAAATTCAATGCCTCAAAAAAAGGGGTAAACGTAGAAACCATAATTACAATTAAATATTTGGATAAGCATCTTAAATGTCATAACCTACAAGGCTACAGGGCAAAAAGCTGGAAACTGCAGTTGGGTCAGATAGCTTATTGTCAGCCAACACAAATGGGCTAAGTGGCTCACTTCTGTTCTGTAAATTTTCTACATTTGCATCTAGAGATATTTGAATAGACAGTACTTAAAACCTATCTAAAGAATGAAAGAGAAACAGAAGATTTACAATGCGAACTCCAGAATTTAGGCTCTTGTTAGCTGAATGCACAACTACTGATGATGGAGCAATTAAAAGCGGAAGGCTCAAGAGGTCAGAATTAGAGGAGTACACATATTTCTGAAGTTTGTGGGGTTGGAAGAGGTTGTAGGAAAAGGGAGGTGCAAGGTCATGGAGAGATTTGAAAACAAGGATGCAAATTTTCAGGTAACAAGGTGTAGAGCTGGATGAACACAGCAGGCCACGCAGCATCAGAGGAGCAGGAAAGCTGACGTTTCGGGTCGAGACCCTTCTTCATTTTCTGGCTTTTATATCTAAAGAACTCACTTATGAAGGTGTAAAAGTTATGCTTCGGCTCTGAGTAGACCATGGCTTAAGTATTATGAGCAGTAGGAAAAATGTATCGGCAATGGAAGAAGTACTGGCTCACTATATATAGCTTCACCCTTGTGAGTCCAGGTATGAGGATATTACACAAACTAAGGTTGTATTCCCTGGAATTTAGAAGGCGAAGGAATTGTTTGATCAAAATTTTCAAAATATCAAGGGGAACACGGTAGCTCTACAGAAACTATGTCACCTCTTTATAATGTGTAAGACAAGGGATACAATCCAAATGTTAGACTCAAACCTTTCACATGTTTTGTTTCAAATGCCATTTTCTTACCAAAAATGAATTGATTTCCACAACAAATATTGATCTTTTAAAATTTCTTCAGATGCGTTGGGTGTTTGATTTAAGAACAAAATACAATAGCAATCGAGGAGACATTTCAGGTAGAAGTTGGGATCTCTCATCTTCAAACTGTAATTGATCGCTGATCAATTGTAAATTTAATATCTGAGAATGACAGATTTTTGTATTAATGAATAAAGACAAAGGCATATATGTGACATTCCATCCAAGACCAACTATGACCTATTTGAGAAGTAAAGCATGCTCAAGTTGTGGAGGTAGGGTCTAATAGACTAGGGGTCCATACCAATGGTCTAATATTAATTTTGTGCTTCAAAAAATCATGTCAAGTTTTTTCTATTCTCAAAATACCAATGATGTTGAAAAATTAAAATTTTAGGCATTTTTAATTATTTAACTTTTGTAAACAGATTCTTCTTTGGACCAGTCTGATTTGGTTGCTGAGCTGCTGAAGGAACTTTCTAATCACAATGAAAGAATAGAAGAACGTAAGGCAGCGATGTATGAACTCCTGAAATCAATTCAAGAGGAATCACTAGGTGTATGGGACGAACATTTCAAAACTGTTTTGCTGCTGCTTCTGGAGACACTTGGAGATAGAGAGGTTGGTTCAGGTTTTTTTATTTTAATTAACTATTTTGGTATGTGTCTCTGTGTGCTTTCTATATATTTGTGTTGTGCTGTTTGTAGATAGTTCTCCCATTTCCTCAGATTGTGTTGCTGAACTGGAGGATAAACAGCAAGACCCGGTAGATTTGGATTTTGTCACTGAGGTGCATAAAGTGTTTATGCTCTTCATTTTCCACCTTTATTGGGAAAGCAACTAACTTCCAGCTGGGATCAAGAGCTCATCAAATGTGGAATTACATGCCTTCAACCATAGCTTTCTGTGTGGAGTGGTGCAGCTTTACTCCCAGTTTGCTGCCACCACAACCTGCTGCAAAGTGCACTTCTCTCCCATTTACTTTCTTTTGCTTTTGTTGTACACCAATTTTTCATTTAAATGGTATCTACCATTGAGATTAGTTATGTTTAGAATATGTTTACTTTCCTCTTCCATCATCAAATGTATGTCACAATTGGTCATTACAATTTACAGAACTGATATCTCCTGCTGTGGTTGTGTACCATTATTAGTGCTTTGACTTCATGAAGATTGGACCTCAATAGATGATTCTTTGAACTGCAGTTGAGAAAGGTGAAACACCAAAGATCAGGGAAAAAGAGAAAAAGGTGAATGGAGTGTGGGTAAAGCCAGAAAATGAACAATTTAGGAAGGAGGACAGGGCACTGTTCCCAAATATGTTTTATTTCCCATGGAAATTAAGTCTCCTAACTCTTTAATAACACAGCATGGAGCTGGAGGAACACAGCAGGCCCAGGCAGCATCAGAGGAGCAGAAGAACGGTCCCGACCCGAAACGTCAGCTTTCCTGCTCCTTTGATGCTGCCCGGCCTGTTGTGTTCCTACAGCTCCACACTGTGTTATCTCACACTCCAGCATCAGCAGTTCTTACTATCTCCTAACTCTTTAGTCCGTTCTGCAGTTAGTGCTTCTCCAACTCTGACCTTTTATACTTCTCAGCCACAGCATATGTCTGCTCAGACTTGCACACTCCATCACCAGTTTCAGTGTAAGACCATTCAACTATCTCATCTACCATGCCATCGATACCTATGCCTTAAAATCTTTCTCAAAACGCACCTTATCAATCAAGGTTTCTGTCAAAAGAATCAAACCATCATAAAAGCAGTATGAGGCTGACAAAATGAACTTGCTATGTAGAGAAGTAGATAAACAGGAGGCTGGAAGAACACAGCAGGCCAGGCAGCATCTGGAAGAAAGGAGCAGTCAATGTTTTGGGTATTGCCCTTTTTCAGTCCTAAAGAAGGGTAATACCTGAAACACTGACTGCCCCTTTCCTCCAGATGCTGCCTGGCCTGCTGTGTTCTTCAAGCCTCCTGTTCATCTACCTTGGATTCCAACATCTGCAATTTTTTTGTCTCTTGCTGTGTAGAGACTTTGACAGTTATAAGTAGAGGACATAGAGGATTTAATTTTTGGAGTATTCCCTACTCAAGTTTAGTGTGCCATGTTGTATACCACCACAAAATAGTTTTCTATCTGTGGCAGTACAGAAGAGAACTCTGACAAGACCATAAGATGTAGGTGGATATGTAGGCTGTTCAGCCCATTGAGTCCACTCCACCATTCACTGAATGGCTGATATGATAATCCTGAGCCCCATTCTCTAAGGAGCATATGTTAATTTTGGGTTCTCTCTTCCTTTTTTTGTATCTATAATATTTTATATTGTTCTGTCTGTCTTGGTATTACTTGCAAGTTTACACTCAATGTTTATATTCTCTTTTTTTTGATCATCTTTTGTTTGTTTTAAAATATTCCTAAACTTCAGGCTTTCCACTAATCTTGGCCACATTTGTATTTTTTTTTTAATTTATGTTGCTATCCTTAAATTCTCTGGTTAACCATGGTTGACCTATCATCTTCTAAGGATCCTTCTTCCTCACTGGAATATATCTTTGCTGTGAGTCATGAAATATTTCCTCAAATGTCTGCCACTGTTTGTACCTTAATCATCTTTGCTGCTCAACTCCTTTCCCAGTCCACATGCCTTTGTACTCTTATTTAAGTTTAGCATAGTTGATTATGATCCAAGTTCCTCCCTCTCAAACTGAATACTAAATTTTAGCATGTTATGGTCAGGTATTACCCTTTAAAAGTTTCCAAAGGAATCTTTTAAACTGACATCATCTATTAAACAAGCCTCATTAAACATCAGTAGATCCAAAAAAGCCTAGATCCCTAATAGGATCCACAATATATTGTCCTAGGAAACAGTCCTGAATACACTGTATGAATTCTTCCTCGTCGGTTCCTTCTCCAATCTGACTATTGCAATCTATGTGAAGTTTAAAGTCACCCATGATTAATGTACTGCCTTTCTTTAATACCTTCATCATAGAGTCAAAGAGGTACAAAAAAAGGCCCTTCGACCTATCAAGCCTATGCCAGTCAAAAACAACCACTACCTAACTATTCTAATCCTGTTTTCCAGCACTTGACCTTGTAAGCCATGGCATCACAAGTGCACATCTAAATACATCTTAAAGGTTAAGAGGGTTTCAGACAAGGAATTCCAAATTTCCACCACCCTCTGAAAATTTCGCTCCTCAAATTCCTTCAAAATGTCCTGCCTTAAATCTATGCCCCCTGGTCATTGATCCGTCCACCAGCGGGAAAAGTTCCCAAACACCATGTCTGTCACCCTCCTGATTTTATGCATCCCCCTCAGTCTTCCTGTTCCAAGGAAAACAACTCCAGTCTATCAAATCTCTCGTCATAACTAAAATTCTCCAGCCCAGGCAACATCTGGAAAATCACCTCTGCATCCTCTCCAGTGCAATCACATCCCATCTATAATTCGAGAACTGCACACAATACTCTAGATATTCAAGTACATGTGACAGTAAAATCTAACCAACATTTTATACCGTTCCAGCATCTCCACCCTGCTCTTAAACTTTATGACTCAGCTAACAAAGGCAAGCATCCTGTATATTTTCTTAAACACTTTATTGATCTGTTCCACTACCTTAAGAGACCAGTGGACATGCACACCAAGGTCTTTCTGATCCTCAGTGCTTCCCAGGGTCCTACCAGTTATTCTCTGTCCAACTTTACAATTCAAGAGTAAAATAAGAGTAATACTTCACTAGGGTTGAGTACCTGTAAAGGATATTTCATGGATGAAGGGCTGTATCTTTTTTTGCTATTTATGTTAAGATCTTTTCAAATGTGTTTGTTTATGTACAAGAGGGAAAGAAGGAGAAACTCCCCTTTGCATAAAAAAAGCTTGAGCTCATTTGTTACAATTACATTGGCAGTGTTCAGTGCCTGACCTCCGTGGTAACTAAATTAAGAAATTAAAACTTGTTGTCCATGAAATCAGGTTTCACTTTGGGATACGACTTGTCCCATGTTATTATCTGTTTGGATCATAACAAAGTGAGGGCTCATGGCAAGACAAAAATCCATTAAACAATAAAGTGGATGTACTGGAGAATTGCTGTGAAGTATCTTGCACAGTTTGGACTTTCAGAAAGGTTTTGACTGTACTACAACTTAGAGTAGAAAATATAACAATGGATTAATCTTTGTTAAGGCCACACTGAAAAAGTTAGCAGATAAATTGAAGGTAGAAATAAAAGCATGATCTTGAAAGGATGTTACCCAGCATTATTAGCGGAAAGGAAGGAAATCTGAAATTGTTATGCCATTTCTAGAATTATGTAAGATTCAGATAGAAACGAATAAAACTTGGATTAGAGGAGAAAGAGAAAAGAGAAATTGGGATAAAGAAAAAATGAAGTGGAAAGGATTAAGAATGAAAAGAAAAAAGCAAAGGAAAGGGAGGAGAAGTAAAAAATAAGAAAGTTTGAATTGAAAAGCGAGCAGAAAGAAAAAGATCAGTGGAAAGGGAAATGGAATTTAAAAAGCTTGAACTCCAAAGAGATAGAAAAATCAGATAACATGACTTATCTGCATGAAAACTTAGAATAAAGGAAGAAAGAAGAGGCAGTAATTCAGAGGATAACTCTCATTCCAATGAGGGATTTGATTCAATGAGAAATCTGTGTTTAATGCCAACATTTACAAAAGATGGGGTGAAAAGGTATTTTTCCTCAGTTGAAAAGATAGCTAGGAAGGTGAAGTAGTCAAAAGATATTTGGACCTTAATATTACAGTGTCCTGTTACATACAACTTTGAATCTGTGCAACTGTGTCAGAGAGCAATCAGAAGAACATGAAGCTGCTAAAAGGCCAGTACTTAATGCAATAAGCTTTACCCTGTGCTTAGCAATTAAAATTTAGGACTTTCAGAAATAAACCTAATCAGACATCTGTAGACTTTGCAAGAGAAAATGAAACACACTGTGGAGTCAATGGCCTTGATTACTGAAGTTAGAGAGAAATAATGATCAGAGTAGAATTCTGAAATAGTATGCCAATAACTCTTAAGACTTAGATGAGCACCTGATCCGAGAAGTGGCAGTTCTGGCAGATACCGATGATCTGTATCACTTGTGGGGAAATGTTCACGTGGGAATCAATAAGGAAATTGCAGGAATAGAAAATTTGGGGTTGGAAAAAGAATTAGTTCTATGTAGCAAATAAAAGAATACCAAAATAATGGAGAAAGGCTAGCACCTAAAATCGATATAAAGAAAGTAATATTCTTCCATTGTAATATGACTGGATATACTAAAGTTAATTATTGGAACTTAAACAGGAGACCTATTTGAGTAGTAGGATCACCCAAGGAACACTCAGAAAAGGGCATGTCAGGACAGGATATGGGTACTAAAGTTCTAGCAGTGGCACAAGTGGAGTGTGCAACCTCAGAACCTACTAGGAAGGGAAAGACAGTCCAGCAAATACTCTTTCAATTATTGATAAAGAGAATCAGACGACTGGAGATTCTGAATATTTTTATCTCAAAGCGAGAGGTATTTCTTTATTCTTTATTCAAGGACGCAAACCAATAAAGATATTGAGAGACTCTATAGCAAGTCTGATGCTGGCTAATGATACAATTGTCTTCCAGAAGGGCAAATTAAAGAAAAAATTAACAGAGTAAACTCGGACGTTACAAACTGGTCCGATTATGTAGAGTTGGATTAATAAGTAACTCAGTAAATCTGTGGTCAGATGAGTGGAAGAAATCTTTTAGGAGGAATTAATTTTTATTTCCTTCCATACCCTACTGATAAATATACAGAGACTTTATATAAATATACTGTGCCCCACAACTGTCTGTGGTACGGGCTTCCAAAGACATTCAACTCACAGAAAAAAAATTCCTCCTCATTTCAGTCTTAAGTTGGCACCCCTGTATTCTGAGACTATACCCTCTGGTCCTAGATTCTAGCATGAGGGCAAACATCCTCTTAGCATTTACCCTATTAAGTCCCTTGAGAATATGTTTCAATGAGATCACTTCTCATTCTTCTAAACTCCAGTGAGTAGAGTTCCCAACCTGATTAGCCTTTGCTCATTAGACAATCCCTCCATACCAGGGACTATCCGGGTGAACCTTCCCTGAATTGTTGACAACACTCCAAATGTGGTCTCGCCAGTAACTTGTACGATTGCAGTAAAACTTCCCTGCTCTTATACTCTGACCCCCGTCCCCCTTGAAATAAGGGCCAGCATTCCATTAGCCTTCCTAATTACCTGGTCCACCTGTGTGCTAGCTTTCTGTGTTTGTAAAATGAGAATTCCTCTTGAAGATACTTTTTCGTTTCTATAGGGAGATGCAATAAAGGTTTCTGTTATATTATTATTTCGAAAATTGGGAAAGGTAAATGGGATTTCGATTTTAGTTCTATGAGATAAGCTAATGTTTTTGGAAATGTAGGAAACCAATTTATTTCAGCAGGGAATCAAACAACATTTCCAAGAAATCATGTGATGAGACAAGCAATCTGGTGAGGTAATTGCTGAAGTGTTCTTCAATTCTAAGAAAAACAGGTGAAGAAGGGCACAAGTAGGTCCTGTTCAGAAAGAAAGGATCCACACCAGCAGAAGGCAGTTTAGTTTTTAGGGTCTAGGGCGTTAGAGGTAGAAAAAAGTTTTAAGCTGTTTGAATTTGATGAATGTGCAGAAAGTCACCAAAAGAAAATGAACTTCATCAATTCATCAACTTCATCAATTAAGTAGGAAATTGGAGTGAAGATACAATGGTTGAGCGTATATAAAGGATATAGTAGATGGGAGAAAGTGTTGATCCGTTCTTTTTGCTCTTTGAGATTTTTTTCAATTGCAGGGTTTTTTTATGTAAAAATACATTGGCAGGCTCTTGTGAATATATTCAGTGGCTCACCACCATGGTAACTAAATTGTAGAAATAAAGCCTATGGTCTACCAGACGAGGTCTGACTCTGGAATTTGACTGATCCAGAGATACCATCAGGCAGGATGGTAGCATATACTGCCTTGGCCATTAAATCCATCCATTTCATTTAAAAGCAAAAGTTGCCTGGAGATTTAAAGAGTTTTGGTCTTTAACCAAATAATTATGAGAGTTGAAATTGACAGGATGTTTCTTAACCAAAGGATACAAATTTAAGGTAACTGTCAAAAGAACCAAAAAGAAACATGATGTTTTAATGCAGCTGATAGTTATCATCTGGAGTGCATTGCTTGAAAAGAGTGGTGGAAGAAAGCCAGTTCAGTTGTAACTTCCAAAAGAGGATTGGAGATGTACATTGAAAAGGAGAAAATGTGTTGTTATGGGGAAAGATCAGAGAAGTGGGACTAACTGGGTAGTTGTTGAACAGTGCCAGGACAGGCAACTAGGGCCAAATGGCTGCCTTATGTACTGTATGATTCTATTATTATTGGTACTTTTGATGTATTCGTTTATATAGTCAAACCTTGCAGTTGATTTGCATACTATTCACAAATAATAATGAGATAAATGACCAGTTAATCTGTTTTTAAGGTATTGAAGGATAAATTTTAAGTGGAACACTGGGAGACCTCATTTATCTTTAAATATTGCCATAGGACCTGATTTGTCCATCTGACAGGTCTGTGGAGCCATGGTTTGACGTGCTTTTTGAGAAGTGTCATGTCTGACATTTTAGCCCTGCAATCTGGACTTATGTTGTGTGCTTCAGTCCTTGAGCTCATTACCTCTATTTAAGGGCGTGAATGCTGCCACTGATAGAAGATAATACTTGTTGCAATATCCAGAGAAAATATGGTGAAGCAGTTTTAAAAGAGGCATAAAAGAGTAAAAGTCAAAAACTGAAATTGTTGGAGAAACTCAGCAGGTCTGGCAGCATCTGTGGAAAGAAAACAGAGTTAATGTTTCGAGTCCAGTGACTCTTCTTCAGACCCTGCTGAGTTTCTCCAGGAAGTTCTGTTATTGTTTGTTCCAGAATTCTAGCAGCCACAGTTCTTTGTTATCTTATAAAGTAAAAGTCAATATTTGTTGTTAGTGACTGTAAAATCTGAGTTGTGGTCACAGCAGGTGAAATAAACTGGAGCCAGTACACAGAATATAGGACTCTTGTTGTCCAATTTAATGTGAAAGACATTTTTTTCATAAAGCTTCTAAAACTTAGAATTTGCACTCTTGTCACAAAGTGGCCCATACAAGTATATGAAATGCTATAATTAAACCAAAAAAAGACAATTCCAAAGTTTTAATCCAGAGTTCCAATGATATAGAACCAGAAAATTCAATGGATATATGGAGAAAGCAAATTTAGAACAGGCAGAGAAAATGTCATTTATAGTGCTAAATATTTGGAATAAATTACCAAGAAAGATAATTGGCATAAACTTCAGGGTTATGCAAGAAGCAGTTGAACTGCCATAAGTAAATCAGTAGAATTTCACAGACTAAACATCCTCTGCTTGGTACTGATTTGTTTAAATGTTTATTACGTACACAGTGTCAGCTAATTAAGCCAAATATGAATATACATTAAGGTCTTTGATATTCCTTTTCTCTTTAGACAAATGGCACCCACCTGGAACATATCTTGTACTTCCAATAGCCATAATAATGGGTGGGGTTGGATCAGTTTTTTTTGTTAAATAGAACTTTACATTTTGCGAAATTTATTTCTATTACCCTTTTTGCAATTGTCTTCAAAGTTACATAATGAAAGATTTGTTAACTTTGAGTTTCTTCTTTCTTGGCATTACAGCATACAATCAGAGCATTGGCACTACGAGTTTTAAAGGAAATTTTAAAGCATCAGCCAGAAAGATTCAAAAATTATGCAGAACTTACTATCATAAGGACATTGGAAGCTCACAAAGATCCTCAAAAAGAGGTTGGTTGTTCACTTTCTTTCTTGGAAGCTGAAGGAAAAGCCAATTTAATATGTATTAATGTTTTTCTGCAAGCATTTTTGTAACTGATCATTGAGCAAAAGGTGTTTACAACTGCATTGATAACCTACAATCTTTAAAATATTCTTTTGCAGAACACATCAAATGGTTGGGCAATATTTTTATTAGTCCAAACAAGAACGTTGGTATAGCACAGTCCTTAAAGTGGAAATCTTGGAAATGACAGTTATAAATGCACAAAAAAAGAAACAATTGTAATTTTTTATACCACTAACTGTAGAATTGTTTTTGGTTCACCTTGAATTTGCTGAATGGATTCTTTGGTCTCTGAACATTTTTAAATTAGCTGAAATTCATGCATTAATGAAAATGGTGATACTGTAGTGGGACATGCAGAAAATTGCATACTTTATCAACTAGAACTGCCCAAGTCACTAAAAACAAATGTTGATGCTGATTCTTATTGAGCCATGTCTGTGTGCACGTTCTGATTGACATGAAGTCCTGTTCACCTATCCCTTGTATTTACTGACTTACATTATCTCCCACTGAAGCATTTACATTTTTCATACTTGTTTGAAAAGTCTTCCATGGACATGCCTCTTTCTATCTCTGTAATCTCCAACCTCTATACCCTCTCAAAAACTCTTAATTCAGCAACAGAAAGCAGAAGCGCATGACAAAAGCATCCCTCACTTTAAACACCCTAACTCTTGTACTGCAACTGCAGCTGTGCAGGAAATGCTCCCCCTGGTGTTGTGCCACAACACCACTGACACATGAAAAAGGTGCGAAACTCCAAAAGCTTGTGTCTTCAAACAAACCTTTTCGACTATAACCTGGTGTTGTGTGATTTTTGACCTTGCCACAAATAAACACGGCCTAATCTAAATTAGAGTGATAATATTCTGATCAATTTCATTTATGCTGATTCTTATTGAGCCATGTCTGTGTGCACGTTCTTATTGACATGAAGTCCTGTTCACCTATCGCTTGTATTTACTGACTTACATTATCTCCCACTGAAGCAAAGTTTTGTGCAATTGCTTTGTCTGCCCAAAACATGTTAGAAGCAATTTAAGCTATGCCTTTGTAATTGGTGCTATGTTCATAAGTAATAAGGGGTAGACCATGCTGCTCATTGAGCTTAATTTGCCATTCATGACTGATCTGTTAATGTCTCTGGACTACTAATTCAGAAATGCCTAATGCCTTGGGGCATGCATTTGAATCATATCACAGCAGCTGGAAAAATTTAAATCTGGAATTAGAAGCCATTCCTAGTAATCATGAATTTGGACTGTCATCAGTTATCATTAAAACTTCACATGGTTCATTAATATTCTTTAGGAGACTGCTGTCCTTCCACGGTCTGGCTTTAATGGGACTTCAAAACCACAGCAATGTGGTTGAATCTGAAATGGCCCTCTAAATCTTTGTTATACCAAACCCCTACAAAGCAAAAAGAATTTAATTGGCTGGATCACCTAACATTCAGCTAAGCACTGGAATCAATAATAGACCCAGTCATATCCATCCTGCAAATTACCCTGTTTCACATCTCAAAGCTTGTGGCAAAAGTGAGAGTGCTGGACCCCATGACGTCTCCTGACATCAGGTCAAACCCCCACGTGCTAATTTTACCCTAAGCAATATTTTACAAGATTCTCAAAATACATAAATAATAGAACTGACCCTCTTTCACTGTTTCAGACACACATATTTTACTAGACAGTGCAGATAATATCACAGCATATATATTTAAATTATGTAACTGCAAAATAGTAAGTGTATAGATTATGCATTCAACTTTTTAAATAATGGTTTATATTCATTACATGAAGATGGAATGATATGTTTCAAAACATGGGTCTAAATCCCACCTTGGCAGATGATGAAATTTGAATTCAACAAAAAAAATCTGAAATTAAATGTTTGTCAAAAGGCAACCATACAACCACTCTCAGTTGTTGTAAAAAAATCTGTTCACTAACGCCCTTTAGTAAGGAAAACTGCATAACTTACCTGATCTTACATGTGACTCCAGACCACTTACAGTTAACTTCTGTTTGAAAAGGCTTGCAAGCTGCTCAATTGTATCAAACTTTTCCCCACAGCACTATAGTATTGTTACAGTCCAAAGATTGAAGTGGTTCAAAACAGCAGCTCATCACCATCTTCTCCAGGGCAATCAGGGTTGGGCAGTTAATGCTGGTCTATGTCGCTAATCTAGCATGAACGATTAAGAAAAAGTCATGTTCATTTAATTACAAAGTATTTCACACACATTGTGTGAATGAACTTCAATTCTATTTTCAAGATTTTCTTTGTCTAATAGGTTATTACATGCTCATATATATTACCTCTGACAATTACTTGATGCACAGTGGAATACAGTTATTTTATTACTTGTCAAATATTTTCTATAAATTTAGTATCTTAATAATCAATGCAAAAATCTTGTATATGGTCACACAAGTTGCTAAGGTCACAAGTTCAATGAATAGATTCAAAGAATGGTGACATGCCTAGATTGTTCATGATGTATCAACATAATGTAAACATGTACAGCTTACCTGAGTGACTCATTAGTAGGTAAATGTATAATGTCTATTAAGTACTTGGATGTAGAGTCCTGACAAAGGGTTTCAGCCCAAAATTTTGACTTTCCTCCTCCTTGGATGCTGTCTGACCTACTGTGTTTTTCCAGCCTCACATCTATTGACTCTGGCTTTCAGCATCTGCAGTTCTTACTGTCTCCAAGGGGTTCCGTACTACTGCCAATGACAAGCCTGCTTCCACTCGTCCAAAAACAAACTGGGATTACCAAAATCCGTGTGCTACTAAATTGGCCTTGCTGACAATCTCATAAATAGGGCCCAAGCTATTTGATCACTATCATAATAGAGCATCAGATCTATCTTGTAGGAGATATGAAGATAGGAGATATGAACAACATATGAAGTTAAGTATTTCGTGCTCTTACTATATAAGACCAGAATGCTTGTATTTTCTATGAACATGATGCTGTTGTTAAAAAAAATTGTTCTGCCTGCCACACAAAAGAGTAATTTGAATGTCAGTGCCACTGCAGTGCAGTACACAGGCTGTTCATCCCAACAACTGGCAGATGCATTAAACAGCACATCCCCTCAGTTGTCCATAAGAGGTAAAATACTGACTGGACTCCGTCAGCCTGTCCTTGCAAAATTCAGAATGCAATGTTTTAAAAATTTGTCCATAGAGTGTATGCATTGGTGGCTAGGTAAGCATTTATTGCCTGTCCATAAGCACCCTTGAGAAAAGCAGCAGTGAGCTGCCTTCTTGAACCACTGCAGTCCATGAGGGAGTCCTGTGCTGCATCAGGCTGTCACAGTAATATGTTAACACGAGGAAAATAGTTTGAAGAACTAATATATTACAAAATGTTGAAAAATGCCTCTTAAAATATTTAATGTAAAATTACACTTTAACTAAGATTTGGTCTCTTTATGAACCTTTTTATTATGATTGAGTAGTAGAATTGATCTGCCCAGCTGGACATGTACCACTGATCTTTGTGTTATTGGGATATAATTAAATACAAAATGTGACAATTGTTTTAAGAAGCAGTAAGTCTGTCCAATAAAACTCATTGAAATTGTAGTATGAGACCTCAACATGATTATTGTAATATCAGCTAAATTATCTAGAGAACAGTTGAATATAGGCAGAGTGAACAAGGGACAATCAAGAGGTAAAATAAACAGTTATCACACACCAAATGGCTGCCAACTTAACAATGGAATAGTGCAACCTGCTAAGTCATTAGAATAAGAGTATCCAGCACAAGAGGAATCTATAGAAGCAAAGAAACAACATGCTGCCCATTGACAGGAACATTATTATGAATCGGGATCACTTTCAATTTTCCCAGGGCTTTATACCCATTTCTCACTGATTTTCTCCCCCCATTTCTATACAGATGAAAACAAACTTATGCTCACTGAGATGCGCTGTGGAATTCTAACATCTGGGTATTATTTCATTAGGTGGTAAGAGCTGCTGAAGAAGCTGCTACAGCCCTGGCTACATCCATCAACCCTGAACAGTGTATTAAAGTGCTTTGTCCTATTATCCAGACTGCAGAATGTCCAATCAACCTGGCAGCCATTAAGATGCAAACCAAGATCATAGAGAGAGTCCATAAGGAGACTCTGAATCAATTGTTGCCTGAAATTATTCCTGGTCTGTTAATGGTATGTAGCGATCATTAGTTTGTAAATATAAATAATTCATACTTAGACTCAGTACATTAACTTAAATCACCATAGATAAATCAATTACAAGTGTTAAATTGAATCGTGGATTTTCAAAGTTAATGCTCTGAAGCCTTTTCGATGTGAAGTAATCAGAAAATTTTGATAAGTTTGTAGTTTGAATCTAACCTAGAATTGGACAATTTGAAAAAAGTGTGTTGGATATGTGTTTCTATTTAATTGAGCTGTATTCCCATCATTATTAAAGTTGATATATTTCTGTCTTCAGTTCCCAAGGCACTTTGCTATGCTCATCCTTGTTCAGCAATCCTGCCTCCCTCTTACCAGGTATCCCTTTTCCCTCTGCTCCATCTTCTCCATTTGCTTTATGCATGCCCCCGTCTTCCTGCACCCAGGTGTCATTATGTTTCCACCCTCTAACACAGATTAAACTGAAGCTAGCATTCAGTTGCTTAGTGATATTTAATCATGCAAGGGATTTACATTATTGTGGCATTTTGGTAAAATTCAAGAAAGTTCAACTATCAGCATTTCCACAATTTCAAGAATCAAACGAAGAAGAGAAATTGAAAATAAATTGAGAAAACTGGAATTTTTCAATAAGTCAGGCAACATTTGCTCACTGCCTGTGCTATATTTTTACCTCCTGCTGGGACCAGAATCAAAAATGGGTGGGAGCTTAAAATCACCCAGTCAGCTGATCTGTCAGCTCTCTGCCTCCATTTCCACCTCTAACCTTTTCGTAGATGTAATTTTGATGTGTGTGGGGTGTAGGAAGTGCAATGAGAATGACAGGGTTACCTACTTGAGCATAGCTGGTAGCCAATATGGCCAGTCTTTGGTCATTTAAGGTCAATTAAAGGAGGCCAACTGCAATTATCCTGTCAGCGGTAAGAACAAGTCATCATATGCAGAGGTCCCTAAACACTCCCCCAGTCACTTGACCTCCACAAACCACCACCACATATACAAAGACACACCATCTGATAGCCTAGCTACAAACCAATCTTTCAATTTAAGCCTTAGAAAACTTGGAGAGAAAGTTAACTTCCATTTGAGGGTATCCTCCATTATTTACATTCTTCTTCCAAAGTGGAAGAAGTGCAAGCATTAAAAATCTACTTGCTGTCTTTAATTATACATCTCTGACCACTAATTAGTTGCTTCAGGAAAATTCACACAGTCCTGGCTCTGACCCACATGCCAGTTTGCTGATTTCTTGCAGATTTGTGAAATCAAAGTTCTGTTCTGATTCCAGATTGAAAGATCCAGGGACTACAGCAGGAGCTGACCTGTCACTTCTCTTTCTTACTCCCAGTAACTCCTATCCTTTTTGAACTAAATTCATGACACATCGTTGAAATCCATGGCAAGGAAAGGTGCATAAATGTGAACTCTAGTGTCATGTTTTCTCTATTGTGTTTTCCTCTCCATTGACCACTAGAGAGATTATTTCACACACCAGCAGGAACTTTTTAAAAACCTTCAGAGAACCGCAGGTCCCATTTTGAGAGCTTAAGATAAATGGACTATGTTAACTACTCTGTGGTTCTAGTTTTTAACTTTTCACTGTTGAACCGTTGGATTACCCATAGTTCATATTTTGTTCTATTTAAATCTGCAGTAGCAGTTATTTGAATTTATAGTTTTATGTGATGTGTAGAATATCTTCTTGAATTGGGGGAAGGATGTTATGATTTGGATGTTCTCCCAATGCATTTGATTGTGTTTACAACCAAAGGGAAATAAGAGGGGAAAAGAGTGTGTGTAAAAAAACATAAAAGGGCACATTTAATACTTTTCAAGAGTAAAAAGGTTGTTAAACAGAAGGATGGGACCACTTTGGAAACAAACTAGCCGTCCAAAGGGCTTGGCTGAGCTGCTACAAGTATTTTGCAGTTGTATTCACAAAAGAAGAGTATGCTGCCATTGTAGCAGTAAAAGGAGAGGTAGTAGATAAATTGTGTGGACTGAAATGGATGAAGAGTTTTTCAAAGGTTGGTAGCACTCAAATAGAAAATGTCACTTGGACGAATTAGACTGTATTCTAGGTTGTTGGAAGGAAATAAAAGTGGAAATGATGGTGGCTATGGTCAGCATCATTCAAAGCTCCTTGAATGTAGAGATAACAAGGTGTAGAGCTGGATGAACACAGCAGGCCAAGCAGCATCATAGGAGCAGGAAGGCTGACATTTCAGGCCTAGACCCTTCATCAGCATTTCTGAATAATTTGTATAATTCTCGTATTTTTTCAGGGTTATGACAATACAGAGAGCAGTGTTCGGAAAGCCAGTGTATTTTGCCTTGTAGCCATCTATTCAGTTATTGGTGAAGATCTTAAACCCCACCTTGGTCAACTCACTGGTAGTAAGGTAAACTTTTATCTTTGCACTTTTTTTATAAAGCTTTAATTTGTTATTACTTAAATTGAAAACAGTTTTCTGTACTCAATGATATAGCTACATACCACATCAGCAATTCAAGCTAAGTAATCTACTGCAGTTTATATAATTTTCTTTAAACTGTGTGGTAACCTTTCAGGCTGACAATTATGTTTCAGTGGATGATATTGGCAAAAGAAAACTCAAGAATTTGAAAGCATGCATAAAGCAAAAGTCACAACTTATCTTTCTTCATATTCCTTGGTTGTAAATTCAAATTTCTACGTCTGTATGCAGTTTACCAACCTCGTGGATTCCAGCATCCCCATTTATGATGGAAACTGTACACACAGGTGTCATAAGATATTTACACTCCTATGCTCCATTTTAGGTACTGCAATGTGACACATTTACATTGGCAGTTTCTATTACGAGTGTGAATGAAGGAATTCATAATGTAATTATTTCAGCATTTTTGAACGAATTACTTCTGTGTAGAAGTATGAGGTGATCTAAATAGTGGTTATAGGGATTTTGAGGAGAATGTGGAATGCCCTACCTGAAATGATGGTATAGATAGAAACCCCAAAGTTTGAAAAGTACTTAGACATGTATTTGAAGTTCCATAATCTATAAGGCTAGAGACAAAAATCTAGTAACTGAATGGCTCCTCTTTGGCTGACACATACATCATGAACCAAATGGCCTCTTGCTGTGCATATAAATTTCCAAAGCTGTCTAAATTACATGGCTGAATGAATAAACCCTTCAACCAACTCCCGTGGAGGTATGTTGAAAAGCATTGTATTCTTTTTGGAAACCCAGTCAGACAGTGCGGTGATTCTAATGCTAAATTAACTGAAATAAATTGAATTCAACAAACTTGGTAATTTGTAGGTTAGTATCTGAAAAGAACATATGTTTTTGGTCAGAGAAAGGCCAGACTGTACAGGCCTATGTGTTACAATAAAAGAAAGAGAATTTTTATCTGCTAACCCTGAGAAAAAATAATATAAAAATGAAATAATAAGAATAATAATAATAAAAATAAAATAAAAAATAAAACACACAAACAAACATAGATATAAATTTTAAAAAGGGAGAGGGGCTACTGTGCAAACACAGTAAATGCTGGAGAAATTCAGCACGTCTGGCAGCATCTGGAGAATGAATTAACGTTTTGAGTCTGATAGGTTGAGTCCAAGTTGACTTCTTCAAAACACCTTTGAAGGAGAGTTGTTTCAGACTCGAAATATTAACTCTGTTCAATAGAGTAGATTGATCATTATGATCGTTTTATACTTTAAATCCATTTAATAACAATCTACATGAGCATAAAGGATTCCAGGTGGTAATTCATAACCCACATTGGTTGCCAGTTGTGTAGATTAGAATGCCATATTTGTTAGAAAGTAATGTAATGTTACTATAATATGTACAGTTACCTTATATCACTCAAACAAGGTAATAATGTGCCAGAAATATTTGAGATTCGTGTGTTGTATGAAATATTTAAACAAAACATTTGTGGCCCTTGTGAAATAATTTGAATGCTAATCATCTTAACAGCCTCAATCTTTGTGAATTCCATTCCTTATTTTATTCTTAAATTTGTGACATTTGGAATAGTTACACAATGTGAAATGTTTATTATCTTATACAAATACTTAAAAGCCATATTCATATCTCCATATTCCAGTTGATTATATTACTAGAACCTATTCATTTTATGATTTATTGGCTCATGGTTTTTCCACAGAATCTATGATTTTTGCTGTTGGTCTGCATATAGTATTTGTAGTCCTGTTTAAATCCCATATATTTAAAAAGTAACATGCTTAAATTTGTTTTGTGTTTCAGATGAAATTGTTAAACTTGTACATTAAACGTGCACAAACTGGTTCCAGCACAAGTGGCTCAGCGTCAGATCTCACTGGTCAAAGCTAGAGATAGCAGCTTTTTAAAATGGGTCTAATGGGAACAGAACAACCAGTTTTTCAAGATTAGACTCTTCTTTGGAACTTGATTCATCAGAGCTGTATACAACAAATGACTTCCCTCAGCCTGCATGTGACTGTTGCACCAGAATTTATTCCAGATCACAGGAAACAGTATTAGTCAATTCAGATAAAACTCACATCAATTCTTCTCACTCAGACTCCTCTGTGTTTCTTCTAATTAATGTTTACCAGTGTTACAGTTATATAAATAAAATGCTAATTATGATTAAAAAGGAATGCTTTAAGCTTCAGAAAAGTGTTTTTGCTACTAAAGCAGCATTACAATTTCCTTTTACTTCATAATTTACTTCTGGTTAGGTATCAAAAATCATTGGTAAAGGATACGCCTCCAGTAAGTCAGACCAGAACCAGATTGAAGCAGTAACAAACTGCCTTGTTTTGGGTGCATGCTGTCAAAACAAAACTTTAGGGATTGTAACTTCATGTTTGTGCAAGGGCTGGGGCTAGAATTGTCTGGTTTTGCCAGTGTCATTTGTCTGTTCACTGATTTACTCTGTTGTTCGCTCAATAAAAGTAATGCAAGTTAAACTGAAGAAAGCTACAAGAGCTGAGCATTCCTGAGCAGCAGCGAGTCATCTCTGTGTCCTGTTTCTCAGTAGTAGGTTTATGTGGATAGGTACAAGTTGCGTGAGATTTGTACCTTTACAAAATGGACACGTGTCATCATCCCTTCTTCAAACAGGCTGCATCGGAGTGGAGTGCTCTACAGAAGCACACTCAGTATGTAACTTGTTTATATTTAGTATGTGTTTCTAAATTTCTCGTTAAATGAACACGTTCATCAGGTAGAAAAGCCTACGTGGCAAGTTTTGCCTCAGCAGTAACTTTAAATAAGTAGACGACAATTGTAATGATGCTACTGACCTACTTGTCTGTGATGGCTTTGTTTAAATATTCCAGGAAGCTTAACATCAGTTGCTAATATATGTATACAGTAAATTAAGGTCATAAAATATTGACAGTGCCCATTTGGGAAAACGATGAAGATGGATCACTGTGGAGATGTCAGCACCTTACATTAGTGTTCTCTCTACCTCTTATTGCAAATTGATATTCTTTCATCCTATTATTGTAACTTTCTCTTTAAAAAAAAGGTCTACTACTTTTACCTGGTTGAGTAATGACTAACATTCAATGATAGTCCTAAGCCGATACTGGAAATAGTTTTGTTGCCAGTTGTTCTGTGATGGTGATGCTCGTGGAGCTGGATTTGTAAAGTCCAAAACTAAAGTGAAGGCATCTGGTAAAATTGAATCTCACTGGGAAAGCAAAACATGATCAGACTGTTGTTTTGCTGCTGTTAGGGAGTTGCCTTTTTTTTGTTTAATGAAAAATTTGTAGAAATGTATTTAAAGATTTTAAGCAAATCTGTTACTGGCTTTTTTTAGCACCTACATCAAGGATATAGTGTTACGTGAATAGTAAATTGGTTTACACTGTATTATTTGATGTATTTATAGTTATGTGCTTTCAAATGTGCATACACTGGCAATAAACTGTATATAACATTATTATCTTGCTCTTGAGTCACAAACATTGATTCCTTTGCCATAATCTTTGTTTTGCAAAAGATTACAAGAGTTTGACAGATAAACCCTAAAAAGAATGTACAAAAGATGATACCACTAAATATATAATTGTTCTGTTGAAATGATGAGGGAAAATTGGCAATTTATCGCATATGGGTTTCCTATCAATGGTCAGTACTTCTACTGGATGTGCTTTTAATGACTTAATTTGTTTATTTTGGTCCAAGTCTGAATCATTTATGCAGTAAATTAGCTGTACAGTACTCAAATATTGCTGAAAGTAGAGATGTTGTCAAAGCTGTTTTGTCTTGCGTTCATCAGGGCAAAACACAAGAATACCAAATTTTAGATGGTCACATCAGTTTATGAGACTGGATTAAAAAACAGTGCTGAATAGTTGGCAAGTCAATTCTGATTACTTTCTAAATAGCAACATTCAGCCAATGGGGAACTGTAAGCACCACATGCTTTAGAGTAATTTTTTTTTAATGCCAAGCTCATTTATATTTGATTTACAGAAAACCAGCCCCTGCATATGAATGGTCACTCTTGGCAAGCATAAATGAATCACCTTATCAGCTCAACTAATTATCCTAAATTGATTATTAGTGTAACTGTTAGAACATGCAGGATTGTCAGCAAGTGCAGCCCAATTGTGGAATGGCATCCAACAGAAGACATTTGTTTTGAGTTTTGCAAGCACACCCTGGTTGTGTACAGTTGCACACTGCATATTACAACCAAATGGTTGTGTTGTTTGATTTAATCAGCTGATCTAACTTGCATTACACCGGCAGTAAAATTCATGTACAATATAGTTCAATTTTGTGTAAACATAACATCTTTTTGAACTGCCAACTGCATCCTGGAAAATATCACTTGCATCACCACTGCCTAGCAGGCATAGGAAATGGCTTGCTTAACCTGTTCTACTTACCATTCGATTGATTGAATTAAACATGTTCCTGAAGCTATCCGTGTTAGGTAGAGTACAGACTGTACTCAACCAGCCCACATTTGCAAAACCCAAATTAAAATACCTGCTATTAGATCTTACTGAACAACAAATTAGATAATTAGTCAAACTTGTAAGTGCCTCATTGCACTTGATAGAAGTGACATCTGTTCATAGAAGGGGATGGATTCTCTGCGACTAAAAGGACTATGTTCAAACCTTCTACTTTTTTTGAATAACCTAAAAGTATGGCAGCCTGTAGTTCCCTGCTGCCCTCTTAATGGCAACACCTCGAACAATCAGAGTCAACTGGCCAAACATATAACACCCATGTTCAATTATTCCAAGAGTCACTGACCTACAGCTTAATGCCATGATTTTACTACAGGACAGAGTGAAGATGCAATCCCCAAGTTGACTTCAACCAGAATAGAAATTGACCCTCATGCTATCAGTGTTATTCTAAACCACACACAAGACATCTTGGTTCTTAAACTAACCGTCCCACTGCTCCTCCTCTGGAATTCCAGCATTTTCCCAATGACACTTGTTAGGCTAGCTGGCCTATTGTTTAAAACTTTGCCTCCCTCCTTACAGGTTGAAAGGGTGAGAACTTAAAAAATAAGTTGCAGTTCAGATTGGATATCTCTGCCATAATGATGGATGCCATGAAGGACAGCTAAACAAAAGTAGACTAAACTGAAGAAGAAAGAAGCTGGAGCAGAGTCAGGAAATCACGAATGCAGTTGTTTAAGCATTAGCCAGCATAAAGAAGTGAACAATTCTGGTTTAATATAACATTTTTTCATAGACACTAGTGAAGAGCAGGAAATCCTCCAATAAAAACTGCGAAAGGTAGAAATCCTCCATTAAAGCTGAAAAAAGTAAGACAACTCTCCAGTACAGCAGCAAAATACAGGAGAAGCATCTTTACTTCAAAAATGAAAAAAACTCTAAAGAACATGGCATCAGAAATAGTATTGCCAAGAATGTTTAATTTCTGAAGAAATTCAATGAGACACAAATTTGACATTGTGGAGAAACCAATTCTTGACGTATGAAGCAGCTGTTAAACTGGACATTAAAGTATGAAGCTGACCAAGTAAACACATTTCTTTACAGAATTGGCAGTATATGGCAAATGATGGTATTAATTATCACTATCAGTTCTGCAGAAGGACAACTGGACTCAAAACACTAACTGTTTCCCCCATAGATACTGCCAGACCTGCTAAGTTTCTTCAGCAATTTCTATTTTTATTCCAGATCTCCAGCGTCCACGGTTCTTTATTTCAGAGGCAAAGTATGTTATTACACACCAAGACTTATTGAAAACTTTTGACAATTATTTCAACATCAGAACTAAAAATTCTTGAAAGAACATGATTAAAACAGAAGAATTTATCAGCCAGGAGACTCCATTGATGACTTCTTTAATAGATACAGACTAGTGGAGAGATGTGACTATGGTGACAAAGACAGAATTCAGAAGAGACCATTCCACATGTCCACTTTCCTGCCCTTTCCCCATAACCCTTGATTTCCCCTATTGATCAAGAATCTATCTCAGCCTTAAATATATACAAGCACTCTGCCACCACAGGGCTTTGTAACAAGGAGTTCCAAAGACGTTCAAACCTGAGGGAAGAAATTCCTCTTCATCTCAGTCTTTAATTGGCACCCTTGATTCTGAGATTATGTTCGCTAGTCCTAGACTCTCCCATGAAAAGGAAATATCCTCTCTGCATTTACAATGCAAAAACTCTTAAGCATTTCAATGAGATTGGAGTTTAGAAGAAGAAGCAATGAGTAGAATCCCAACTTTTGCTGATAAGACAATCCCTCTACACCAGGGATCATGCAGATGAACCTTCTCTGAACTGCCTCCACTCAAATAATATCTTCCTTTTGATGCCAAAGACTGAGCCTCCGTAGCTTATATAGTAGAGGATTCCAAAGGTTCAGAACCCTAAAATAATTTCTCCTCATCTCAGATCTAAAATGGCAACCCCTTATTTTTCAATAATTCCCCCTGCTTTTAGACTCCCCCAAACATCTTACCTGTATATTCCTTTAAGTATTTTGTAGGTTTCAATGAGATCACCTCATTCTTCAAAACTCTAGAGAATACCAATCCAGTTTGCCCATTCTCTCTTCATAGGATATTCCCACCATCCTGGGAACAAGTCCGGTGAACATTCATTGAACTGCCTGTCTGATATTAATATACTGAGATAAGGAGACCAAAACTGCACAGAGCATGCCAGATGCATGGCATAACCAAACTCCAATAAGATTGAAGCAAGGCTTCACTACTGTACTCAATTCCACTTGCAAAAAAGGCTATGTTCCGTTAGCCTTCCAAATAGCTTGGTACACTGACATTAGCCTTCAATGAGTTAGCAACAATGACACTTGGATCCTTTTGTATATCTACACTTTTCAATCTCTTACCATTAAAAGCAATTCTTTGCACCTCTGTTTCTCCTACCAAAGTGAATTACCTCTCAGTTTTTTCACATTATCTTCCATCTACCCTTTTCTTGCCCATTCACCTCTGATGTTCATCAGTGCTGATCCCAACTCCACCCCTGCCCTCAACTGAAGATCCCATCAGTTGGGCAAGTTTCTCCTCTGAAATTTCTGGACTCCCATGCCCCAACTTGAGATGATTATTCAGGTCACAATGTTCCTGTGACCAGAACTGAATGCAGTAGTCAAGGTATGGCCTGACCAAAGCAAGTAGAATTCACAGAATCATGAAATTGTTATAGTTTGGAAGGAAACCACTCAGCCCATCAGTTTGATCCCAGTTTGGTCTCAGATACATTCAATTGTTTTAGTTATGCAGTTCCAACTCCCAACTGGCTTTATTGATTACTGCTTTATATTAATAATCTTTAATAATGACTCTACTAAGACTCCAAAAAGTGTGAAGTTAGTCTGGGACACCATAACAAAATGCTTGATAATGAATTGAAAGCCTATTTTATGTCCACAGAGATCAATAAAAAGGAAAATTGGACAAGCAGAGATAATGAGCTGTGATAATGTTGCCCATTTTCTGCTAACATTAAGATCAATTTCACCACATTAGATCTCCTTCCACTTCAGAGTTGGGTATTTCATCATTGCTCTTGGCCATGTTCATTGCTTAGTTTCCCATCCAATGTACTTTGCATTTGTCTGCATTAAATTTTTCAATTCATTTACTAATTTTGTCTGTTTTTTAACTTGAGTTGTTTCCTCCTCCCTTCCATTCTCCCTTCAAGTTTAGTATCATCAACAAATGTAACCATTTTGCAAAGTTCTTTCTTCTCTCTCTGTTCACCTGATTTATTTAAAGACACAGCCACTTTAATATTTTTTTTCCATACCAGTAATTTATATGCAAAGATCTTTGGTGGCCCCTATGGGACCTTAGAGTTACTATCAAACAGCTTACAGTGAAAACTGACTGTGGGTGCTTTAAAATCAGAAACAAAAACAGAAATTGCTGGAAAAGCTCAGCAGGTCTGGCAGCATCTGTGAAGAGAAATCAGAGTTAATGTTTCAGGTCCGGTGACCCTTCCTCACAACAGTTCTGAGGAAGGGTCACAGGACCTGAAAGCTTACAATGAACATTGCTTTACATTGAATTTAAGTACAAGTCATTACTGCAACTGAAAATAACTGGTGGTCTTAATACCGAGTTCTTAACCCTCCCCACTCTCACCACAAAATTATTTAACTCCTGTTATGAATACTCATTGCTGTTTATCATTCAGTTTTCTTTTAAAACCATTCCTCAGAGTTTACTTAAAGTCAAAATGTGAAGATTTAATGTAACTGAATTTGGATGTATTTATTCAATCATGTGATGTGGCATTGCTGAATATCTCGGTATTTATTGTCCATCCCTAATTGTCTTTGATAGTACATGGATACTTTGTCAATGCTTCTCATAAACTATGCAATACGTAGGGCTTTTTGCATTCTGTTTGAGATGTTACTTCCACAAATAGGTTGAGGAATTCAATAATAGAAAATAAGAAA